GGACCAGCTCACTTTTTTTAATCTGTACAGAAAACTATGTTGTATGCAGAAAGTCTGAGTTGTAGCTTAGAAGCCCATTGCATAACTACACCTTGTGATAGGTTTAGGGTTTTTTATTTATTCATGGTATAGATGCTACATGCTTGTTAGAGATTTCGGTCCTGTCTTACCCCATCTGACTATACCTTGCTCAGCAAAAAAATTCATTTAGTGAAAAATTAATGCATCATTGCCCATCTTAAAATTGTGCATAGAATGTCACATATAGAATTGTGCAACGGGGCAACGTAGATGAATAGCTATTAACCTAAACTATGATTTATTTCTCCAAAAAATATGATGGTTGTCACTAAAATATTCCTTCCTGTTTAAAGTATGTTTTTATGATCTTTTTTTTTGTTATAGTGAATTCACTTGAGTCTTGACCCAATTAAAATGGTGTGAAATCACAAGCCATCCTGTAAGCTTACAGGTACAGAAGAAATGCTTTACAGCTGCTGATATGAAGCTGGCAGTGGACAAGGTCGTTCTCAATGCTTAATGGCATGTCCATCATAACAGTCCATGGTTATGGTAATATCACATCAATAATACAGTAATGTGTGGATATGGTAATATCATATCAATAAAGGAAAAACGAGTAAAAATTGCAGAAAATGTCATTTATTCTACATCTACATAGGATAAGGAAGAGACTGGAGCCTGGAGGACTTCAGTGTACTGTTAGTAATGGATGAGTACACTCTGCATGCTTCAATTGTTTTAAAATTAGGTTTTATTTCAAGTTTCCTCAATTACCCAGTTCCCAGGGGTAATTAGGGATGCTTTTATTTTGCATCTGGCACCTTACTATTAGCATGTGGAATTTTTTTAGATGCCATATGATAGTCCTCGCAAAGAACTTTAAAATGAGCCCAAACTCGTATATGAAATGTTTCATGGTAAGAAGTTATTAACGGAAAATTCTCAAAACTGTCCCTTATTACCCTGTTTGATGGTAATGTCATAATTTTTTTCTATTTCTGTTGTCTTCTTGCTTGGCTGCAATTTGCAAAAAGTGCCACTTTGTGCTAAAAAAAACTATCATTTCTAGGTTTCCTATGAGCCAATTTCAAAGATTTAGGCGCCATAAGAAAGCACTTGTTGTAACCTTGTAGACTAACTATTCTGACTAGGATAAAGCATTTTGTTTGGGACTGTGACTGCAGGTGCCAAAGATGTGGGTTAATTGTGTGTGACTGAAAGATATGAATGGTATAAATTCACCTAAAGGCAGAATTGAACCGAATAATTCCAGTTTGACTTGCTACTTATATAGAATTTTGCACAATATTCCACATTAGTTTGCAAATATGTTGTTTCATACAGTTTTTAACTTGCTCAGCTTTATATCATGCTTCTACTACAATATTCATTAGTGACTGCAACTGAAATATTTTAATTTTTAACTTTATATTTATGGTCATGTCAGAATCTGACCATCTGATTGCAATTGAACTGCATTGTTTTTTCAATAAAAATATAAAAAATACATTCTCAATTACATGCTAAATTTTATCTAAAATGAATAATATTTTTTGTTGTTTAAAGAGTAAAGTTACAAATTTTACATGTCATTTATGCAGCTTTTCAAATGAATTTTGAGCTTGAAGTTGTCTTTTCATATCTTGGAAAAAGATTTCTAAGCTCCAAAAGTAGACTGATAACTTAAAAATTTATAACTTTGGGTCCTCAAATCTAGCTGCTAGCTGCTTTTGCAGCTATGGCTGCACAATCATATCCTCGCACCACTTGGTTATGCTCTCATATTTATACACGCATTAGAAACTTTACATGTGTGTAATGACTATATAGCAACTTGTTATGTGCTGACATCTGCATCAATTGGTCAAATTAATATTGTCACACAAACTTCTAAAATTTAGATAGTCTTACAAACTGCCTCAGAATTGAGATAGTCACACAAACTGCTAATTACACATGATAAAATCTCTTGACAATCTATATCTCCTTGTGCATTATTGCATAATAATGCATTTTTTGTATAAGATACAGCAGAGTTGCACATATATTTCATTGCAGTGTATCATCATGGCCTGATGGCCTCAAGTGTAAATAAGTGTGCAAGACTAGAAACAATGTACAGCATCCACCAAATGATTGGAATACTTTCACTGCTATGTTGAGAAGTAAATCTGTAATTAAATTGTTATTGAGTTTTGTCATTGTGTGCAAACAATTTGAATCTGTTGAATCTTTTACATGAATTTCTATGCTTGAAGGTTTGGGAAAGGATTTGGTCTGGTGGCTCCCTACCTTGGGGAAGATCATGTGCTCAACCAGCCCAATGCTGTCTATGGCACCTTACTCTACGCTGCTCTCCTTGTTCTTAGTAAGTAACAATTTAGTTCCCTTTGAAATTAATATTCAATTCTTATGAAATTGTGATTACATTAAATTTGCCTCTTTTGAAATATAAACATCATGGTTTTCAATTTATTTCTTGGTTACTGACTGAGACTTTTCTTTGAAACTGAATTGTTTCAACCATATGAGAATTATTTTTAGTCCTTCTTTGGAATTTACAGGTCAAGTGAAGCGCAACTGGGCAGCCAAACTGCAGCTTGGCCTTGTCATATTGGCAAATTGTGCAACACCCTACCTTGCATATCTCTTGTACAAGGTAAATTGTTATTAAGTTATTGGTATAAAGTAATCTGTATTGGGCATCAACAAATTGGGTATCAGTACCATTGGATATACATCAAGTATCAGTATCATTGGGTATCAGGTATCAAGTACCGTAATCTGTATTAGGCATCAATTATGCCCGAGGAAAAAAGCTTGTATATAATTTTTCACTATCACATCTCAGTATTGTTTTGCTTTTTGCTTTTGCACCAAATACGGCAAAACATCTGTTTTGCCGTATTTGGTGCCATTATACAGCTCCATGGTTCTAATGGTCAGCAGGTCTTGCACTGAACTTTAGATGGAGCAATTCTCAGTCCTGCCCTTAATTTTTTTAGGTGAATGAGTTATCTATGCTTGTCAGTCATGTTTGATAATATTGAGTATTTTTCCCTGTTTTTGCCTCCTAAAAACTGCACTTTTATTCAAATTTTATTTTTTTTTTGTCTCACAAACTCGAATTTTATTCCCAGTTTACTATCTTATTTACGACTTGATGTGTGTTTTGTCTTGCAGGTGATAAAGGCTGTGTGTGTTGTGTGTGTCTGTGCCATCGTTTCAAATACATTAATACACGTTTTGTCTTGCTGGTGATAAAGGCTGTGTGTGTGTTATGCATGTCACCACCATCGTTTCTAAGACTTTAATGCATGTTTTGTCTTGCAGGTGATAAAGGCTGTGTGTGTTTTGTGTGTCGCTATCTACATCGTGAACGCCCTGCTGCTGGGCGTGGCGCTGTGGCGGGTCTCCGCTCTTGGGCCAGTCGGGAAGAGACGGAGAAATGGATACCGGAAAAAATCTAGCAAGAAGGATCAATAGGAATAATTACTATAGGGCAAAATTGAAGTTAGCTCTTAGCCATTCATGGTGACACATGTAGCTTAGAAAATAAGGTTCATCCACACTCTGTCTTTTAATTTTCAATGCCACATATTTTTTTGTCAAAAAATAATGTGAAAGGTTTATTTATAGTTCTTATATGCATAAGTCTCTAGTTAATATTATGTAAGATATGCTGAATTAAGTTATTTTCATCAAGCTAAAATGAGATTTTACTTTTCAATTTATTGGTCAAAAGCCGTGCATATAGTCATTCCAACAGTGGCCTGACAATGATTATTGATGATAAGTTAGGTATCTGGTATCATCAACATCTAGATCTTGTCCTCAAATATATTGATCTTGAGTCCTAATGATTACCAGACCGTGCAAGGCAAACAAGTGATGGGTGGCCAAGTTGACCTCAAAGAATAAAATCATAAATGGATCATCATAAGATGCTGATGTTGTAAATGGTTCATAATAACATACTGATATTCTAAATGGTTCACAATAACATACTGATATTCTAAATGGTTCATAATAACATACGGTACTGATATTCTAAATGGTTCATCATAACATGCTGAAATTGTAAATGGTTCAGCATAAGAGGCTGATGTTGTAATTTAGTTGATTGTTTACATCAGCTAAGGATCGTGATCATTGTGGGGATTCACTTCATATCCATTAGCCACATAAGTCAATTACTGGTAAGCCTTATTATGTATAGTCATAACTTTCCAGTAATTTAATATGGAGAAAATTTTATGTAATCAGTTGCATATTTAACATTAGGCCTTAAGCCAGCGGTCATTTCAATCATTTTAACATCCATGGATGGTTTGACTCTTTCAGAATCACAGTGCTATTTCAGTTGCATATAATATGAGCGTGTACGTTGTTTGCTTGTGATGGCGGATAGTTGAAGTTTTCATTGCTTTTTTATGGTCGTTAGTTTGTTTAATGGCTCAACGGACCAAAGTTAATTGTTTTAATTAGCATTAATATCTTTCAAATATCATTTTTACATATAAATGAGCTGTCAGAAACTTATTAGTGATGTATGAAGGACGAGATTTTTATCCACAACGTTGCAACTTTAAAGCTCCTACCACAAATGGTACAAAACTTTCAACCCTTAAATCTATACATTTTATCTTCCTTTGTAATCTATTTGATATTACATCGGTTGTGCTATTTCTCGTATATTGTTTAGTAACTCGTGGTGCCTCTGGCGTGCCTAGTGCGTATCTCGTCACATAAACTCCTGATGTCTATTCTGTCACCTGGTATTTTTATGTTCGAAAATAATGCGTACTCTTGACATATGTTGTTTAGAATATGACAACTTTTTCGTGCTTTACTCCAACGTTATTCATCTTCTTACTGCACAGATAATTGGAAAATGTATCTCACTATACACTTTTTATAATACTAGTTATTCCTGCCCGAATATCAACAAACTTGATTCCGTTTGGACAACCTACCTTATTTCTTGTAATCAATACTTCAATATTAATCTTATTTTTGATTATAAATAATTCTTGAGGACGAGTCATTCATGCCAACATTTCCACGCGTGTTTGAAGACGTCAAGTAGATATTAATATTATGCATGTGTATCTAATTTCCTATTAATATTATTGTCACGTTGGCAGGCGACATATAATATTTGAGTACAGCGCATGCGTGACCAGGGCGGCAGACGGTGGGTGTGTATGGAGCGCTGGTGTCCGATGAAGTCCACATAACAAACTCGCAGTCTACCAGAACTTTGAAGAGAAATTAATGTGTAATAAAAAACTGTATTGGCAGGGCACTTGACTTGGGATATGCTCATTTTTGTCTCCAGCGAAATCCCACAATAATGGAGTTGACGGTAGCTATGATTGAAGGTGTATACAAATCGGTAGCCACTGCAAACTCGGTTATCTCAATTAAATCGAATTAGCGATGCATTAATTCAGATTGCTCTCTGTCTTGACTGATGAATGCACAATTTATGGATGAAGTCCTCTTAATAATAGCGCGGGACCAGCAGAACAATGAATAACAATGATAGCGATGATGCAATAAAGAAGAAAGCTTGTAAGCCGACAAGAACGACCGCGGTGCGAGTCTTGGCTCGGGGCTCTAGCCTCACAGCCTGCAGGGCCATGGCTGCCACGCTGAACCCTAGAGAAATTTTTGAACCAAATTTGCATGCCTAAAAACTCCAATACCCAGCGAAAGATCTTGCATTGATATTAATAAAAAATGATTGGTAGTGCCGTACAATAATCTTTTGTGATAATTAATATCAAAAGTGCATAGGAGAACCGAGCAATGTTGCAAGGACGGCACGACAGTTCACTTCTCCCAGTAACGTCACGACGGTGTACTTGATGATCTCGCTGTGTCTGCTAACTGTTTAGGCTGTGTTTTTATACCTCACGCAGGGTGAGTTTTCGTCCGGCCCGCTGAGTGGATTAGAATAGAATAGAAGTGTCGGCGTTGAAGAAATAGGCCCATGGCCTGTTGCCGATTCTTGAATTTTTCGCGACTTGATTCACAAGGGATTCGGCCTTTGGAACCCGATCTTTCTATAGCTGACGATTGACTGAGATAGCTGCTGGACTTATTGCCTGGTCCGTAATTTGCTAGGCATTTTAAGACTGAACATATGCTCCTGCATAGCTTCGTCTGGACTTATTGCCTGGTCCGTAATTTGCTAGGCATTTTAAGACTGAACATATATGCTCCTGCATAGCTTCGTCTAGTCTGTTTTGTCTCCATCGTATTTAGTTACCGCCATCACTTTGGATATTTCTGTATTAGTAAAGCTGCACGGGTTAGAGTCGTGCTGTGTGTATAAGTTTGTTGTCCGGATTCATGCCACTCAGACCAGACGTGCCTTCATCGTTGTGGCTAGCAGCATCCGTAGTTGTAGTTATCGATTGAAACTGTTCATCATGCCTCTGCCGTTCTCCCTCGTAGGCTCTTGAAATCGACGATTTTGAGCGGTCGTGATAATCTTGGTGTGGCGCATCGGAATCCAAGCTAACAAAACAAAGGCATTTTGCACCACTTTTCCTCCGTGCATTGTAACTCAGTCGTATGTTTCTCCGTCCTTTTCTGTATTTTTCTCCGTTCAAGAGATCTAGTTCGTGCATTTAATAATGGCTGGAAAGAAAATAAAAAAGATAGTCGAAAAGCCCTCAACGGCCTCTAGAGAAAAGCCATCTACGGCCTCTGGAATAAAAAATAAAACCAAATCAGCCCAGCTAGAGATGGAAGTTTGCAATTACTGCAAAGAGATATCTCTGAGCGAAGTCCAGACAGTTACCTGTGAACGATGTGAAGATCTCATTTGTATCAGCTGTTCAAAGTTGAGCTCTAAGGAGTACTCATAGATGTTGGATTTAGACACATGAAAACTAATTCCGACACAACTTGAATTGGACACACACAGATCGTTCAAAGCTTTGTACAAAAATTGAAATTTGCTTAATTAAAAGCCTAATAGCTGTTAATTAAAACGTAATTAAGTAGTGTTCAATATTCGTTAGTGTTCTAATTCAAACCTCAAAGCCGTGTTGTATCCCAATACAGCTCACACAGCAAACGGAATTCGAACACGTTGATGTCGGCAATACGTATCAGTTAAATTTGAAGCGCTGACGCAATACGACTCACCACATGTCGAATATTGCCACACAAAGTGAAGGAATATAGGGATTTGGTAGGTTTCCATTCTAAAGGCTTTTTAATAAATATGGCAACATTTTGTGACGTTTCATCGTTGCTGACGCGTAGTGAAGTGTTTTGAGAGTCATGTGAAGGCAACAGAACTTACGTAATGCATACGGTTTTTTATAGTTTTTCATTTCTCTATGCGTCCTTAATGTGTCGGAATATACCGCGTTTACCCTAGTGGCATAAAGTTCATCATTTTTCCTATCTATGTAGCTAGCTTACAGTACACCCCTCACAGCAAGTAAAGAAATCATACATTTAGGTACTATCTCCAAAAAATCCTTGGAAAAAAGTGTGAAAAGTGAGATTGTAGAAGAGTACCCTAGGGTAAACGCGGTATATTCGGTCACATTAAGGATGCATCAAGAAATGAAAAACTATAAAAAAATAACCGTATGCGTTACTCAAGTTCTGTTTGCTTTATGTGACTCTCAAAACACCGCACTACGTGTCAGCAACAACGAAACATTGCAAAATGTTGACATCTTTATTTACAAGCCTTTAGAATGGAAACCTACCAAATCCCTATATTCCGTCACTGTGTGTGGCAATATTCGGCACGTGGTGAGGCGTATTCCGTCCGCGCTTCAAATTCTACTGATACGTAATGCTGTCATCCACGTGTTCAAATTCCGTTTGCTGTGTGAGCTGTATTGGAATACAACGCTGCTTTGAATTGGAACACTAATGAATATTGAACACTACTTAATTACGCTTTTAATTAACAACTATTAAGCTTTTAATTAAGCAAATTTTAATTTTAGTACACAGCTTGGAACGATCTGTGTGTCAGTGTGTGTCCAATTCAAGTTGTGACGGAATTAGTTTTCATGTGTCTAAATCCATTTCTCAACTTAATCATCTATTAATTTATTTACCACTTGAAATCAGCGAATACAAGTATACTTAAAGGATTCCTAATATATTCACAGACGTATTTAAAAGTCTCAAACCATAATATTCTTCCTATACAAACCGTTATTCACTATTTGGTAGAGCAAGGTCAACTGTCAAATTTGACACATTTTTCGATGATCTCACTGGTAGCGTGCATCGTCCTTCTTCGGATCTCAATATTTTCCTGCTAGATGGCCAAGACCTAGTGTTTTGGCAGTCGTTTGACACGCAAATGTATGACATCACCATTTCAACCATCAAGGAACGCATGGAACTAAAACAAAGCTTAATATAAAGGAAAAACTAAAGAGGTGACGGAATTACCCACGATGTTGGAATATACCACATTTACCCTACCTCTGCTAAGTTCTGTAGAAAAAAAATATTGCTGTATCAAAAAATTTTACTTGTAGGTATAAAAGTTGCACACAGGTGTTGGCTTAAAAACGTAATTGACGGAATTTGCGTATCTCATCCCCCCCAAAAATGACTGCCATTTCCGCAAGATGGGGTAATAAGGGACACCCTTAAAAATGCATTTACAGTAGAACCTTGATTAGCAAAAGCTCCAGTTAACAAAAAAATCAATTAACAACAAAAAAATTGTTTTGCTGTAATTTTAAGTACATTTATAGTCAAATGGGGTAAGACAGGATCGCAGCCTTCATGGGGTAAGAAAGGACCGGCCCATGGCCTGCATTCTAATTGCACTGAATTTAATTTGATAAAAGAATATGTTAGAGCAGTCATTACCTGTCATTTTAGTGTTTGTTTCAACCCTCTTCTGCAAATAATGAATTTTTGGCTAATTTTTAAAAAAAACCTATGTAAAGAAGGGTCACAAAATAGTTAACTCTGTTTGGGAAATAAGCTCTGTCTAATGACAAAAATTTTTTTGGCCAGATTTGTGGATGTAGGCAGGTAACCTCAAGTAATAAGCAACTTTTACGGTTCCGTTAATACTGACACGTTGTCGTCTACCTACTAGAAAATCTCTGATCCATTGGAGTACGTTTCCCTCAATCCCCAAGGACTTCACTTTACGCAACAGCCGCTCATGCGGAACACTGTCAAATGCTTTGGCAAAATCGAGGTACTGTACCTGTACTGTACCGTACCTGTAAGGTACCTGTACTATACTTATACTGTACCTGTACTGAACTTGTACTTTACTTGTACTGTACCTGTGACTGGTGCAGGAGGATGGCTATTGCTGGAGGAATGTGCATATTCATTATCTGATGAGCAAGGTTCCGAGATGATCAACTCTATATTCTTCGTAGACGCCAAATGCTCGAGCTCCGCCGCGACATCACGTCTTAGATCGCGGGACTCCATATGTATATGCTCTGGATGTCATTTCGCAGCAGCTCCTCCACGCCAGCCCGTGTGAGGCGACACGAATGCAGCCTCTCGTACTTCGTCCTGAGCAAGAAGAGCGTAATGTATGAGCTGTGTATATTGTATGATCTGTGTGTAATGCATGAGCAGTGTGTCCTGACGGTACAGTGAGCGGTGCGTCATGTGGACAGTTCTCAATGCGTGTTGGATTATAGGGAGAAGAGTCGAGTGTGTCCTAGAGTTAGTATTTTTCCAAGTATTGAGTCAATTGATTTAAAAGATATCAAAACCTGGAATAAGTCATACCAACCCATTATGATCTGGAACTAGCAGCTTCTCCGCCACTGCGACCAGCCACGACACCTCGCTGTCCTGCAGCTCCACGCACTGAATTTCTGAGCACGCACGCGGTCGATGCTTGATGTCCTCGGGCTTGAGCTTCCTGTTCACGGCGGCTCCTGTAGAACAAAATCATACAAGTCATACAGGCCTATTCTTCAACGCCGAAGATACTGTACTATACTATACCTCAGTTTACTGGAACTCGGGTATATGACATTGCTGTTGTGCCTACCACTACCTTTCACTGCCACTGACATTCATAACTGCCAACACACTACACTGCCACTACCTTTCATAAATACAATACTGGTCCTTCCAATACACCTCCACTACTCTACTACCTTTCATAATACAATACTGGTCCTTCCAATACACCTCCACTACTCTANATAATACAATACTGGTCCTTCCAATACACCTCCACTACTCTACTACCTTTCATAATAAAATACTGGTCCTTCCAATACACCTCCACTACTATACTACCTTTCATAATACAATACTGGTCCTTCCATACACCTCACCTACTATCCATATAACTCTCAATCGTGTTCAAGACACCAACCACTACTTTAGGTCATAATCAACGCCCTCCTCGTAAACCAAACCGCATCACTCCACCTCACAACACTGGCGCTAACCAGTAAACTTCGTCTCCAAGTAGAGAGCCTCGACGTGTGCCGCGGTCTCCAGCCGCAGTGAGAAGAAAGCTTTCGGCATCTTCTGCAACCCCCGAAGCTCCTCAGATGATGCCTGGGGTGCGAGGGACTAGAATTATGGTAATACGAGCATGCAGAGTGATTAATTGATCACCCTCAAAATAACTGAGCATTTTTGTCCAAAGGTATATGGTAACTGCAAAGAACTAACTCACATGAAACTGTTACTTGTAAATAAAATTTCCCAATAAGCAATCAGTGAATATGATCAAAATAATTTTAATAGTTCAACCCATGAAAATATTTTCTAGAAATTAGGAGTAAATTCATAGTGAGTGCGCCATGTTAATTTTTCAAGCTAATTTCTATAAAGAAAGAAATTAGAAGATGGAAAAAACATTAGTAAAACTTGGACTTTATCTGAGATAATTAAACATATAATTTAGATATGATTTTAACATATTAAATATGTTACATTTCTTCCTTGCATCGACCTAATTTGTACTATTGAAGAAGATGAGGCATTGCAATAAATAGATGGAGAGCAAATCTACTCCCCCCCATTGCCAGCTCACCCATATCCTTCTTGTAGAAATGGTTCAAGACGAACACAGTCCAACGAAGGTAATTCTTGCGACAAGAATGAGTCATTGAGGTGGAGATGAATGCGATATCCTGCCTTCGCTAACTTGATAAGCAGAAGTGATAAGTTCAGTATTGGGTTTGCTGCTGTAGAGACCACAAATGCTGGTCGCTCCAGAACGTCATGAGCAGAAAGAGCTCCCGCGTTGAATCGGTAGCTGGCAAGAAGTAGAAAATTTTTCGAGATAATAATAAAAGAACGCTCGTGCTGCAAGTATCAGTTACAATTTGTCCAAATAGTTGGCCAATTCGGGCAGTCCTTCCTTGAATCCCTTCCTCTTGCGGGTCTCGCAGACAATATTGAAGGGTTTGTTGGAAGGGTTGGCATCCATGGGGTTGCCAGGCATGTCCTGCCAGTGATCAAACACGCACTGTGGGAACGCCTGACCGGCAGTGTTTGAGCGTAGATCAGTAGTGAAGCCGAACGACTCGTTGACGGGCAAATGCGCCTTGACAACAAACATGGGGATGCCGGGCACCTGCATCTCACCAAAAAAAATACCGCGACGCCTGTTGAGCACACCGTAAATGCCATCCACGGCAGCCTCGGGACACTGGATTTCGCAGAGGTAGAGGAGCTCCTGAAGGCGAGGTGAGGCCGTCAACACAGAGGCGTAGAGCACACGACGGCACGTGGGGATAATTTGTCCGCCTCCACGATGGATGGCGTCAGCATGCAAAGTCACGTCAAAGTCAGAAGCCTTCATCAATGTAGATGGGACCCGTTCCCAATAAAACGCAGTCGAGAACTGAATCGACACGACAGTCGAGTAGTACAAGAATCGGCTACAAGTCATGGGCCTATTTCTTCAGTGCCGACACTTCTATTCTATTCTAACCATGAAGGTACAAGGAGGCGGTGGATGTGCATACACCAAAATTTATCATATGAATCAAATTGTGACATTTTTTCCGAAAAAAATCTAACCGTATATGTGCAATAAGATTTCAAGGAATTTGAATTGCGCTAAGTGGTGTCGTGTTTGGCTCCGACATTCAAAAGTTACCCTAACTGGACACATTGCCTTTTATGCCGCTTAGTTGGCGATCAGCCGTCAGCGACGATAGTTAGTGATAGGAGGCTCATATCGCTCGCCGCCGCCGTTGTGTAGCTCGTTGCAACTTGCAAGGCCGTTCAAAATTGAATTAAATTCTTTGATTGCTAAAATAATAATAGCACTGAAAATCCATAATGCCCATTTCTTCTGCATTTCTTTACAGCCGGGTTTTGAACTCATTTCTGAGCTTGACCGGTATTTTAATTTCCCTCTATTCTGTCTTCATTGAAGTAAAAAAAGGATTGGATAAAAATTATGTTGCTTTTTGTGATATCGACGATTTATTTGCCTGCTCAAAAGTATTTTCATCAAAGTAAGTTGAAACTGTTGAATGTCAATTGATTGTTTTTTGTCAACCTATTCTAGTCAGTAGGTAGTCATGACTCATGACTCATGCAGGGTACCTACTACCTACCCAGGCTACCCTAGCGGCCATGCAGCCTAGCTGAATCAGGACAGTCGTCCCACATTGGACCCACAAGTCCACGATGGTACGACCCACATTTCGTCAAAATGTTGTTTGTTGTAGCAGATAAACTTGGCTAATCGAAATATTGCACAACTAAAAATAGGGTAAACCGTAAACGTGGTATATTCTGACATCGTAGCCGTAGGTAATTCCGTCACCTCTCCAGCTTTCCCTTGATATTAAGCTTTGTTTTAGTTACATCAACTTCCATGCGTTTGTTGATGGTTGAAATGGTGACGACAGTCGTCACCATAGTGGCAAAGCAGAGAGTTTTTTAGAATCTCCCTCAAGTTCATTTTTGAGTCCTATAAGTAGACCAGTAAAGTATCCTGGATACCAGCATTAT